TTTATTTCAGAATTTCCATTGCAGCTATTTTGACATGGTCTAAGAGAAATGTTGGGTCAGTTACCTGGTTTGGGACCATTACATGTTAAAATGTGTGGGGGATATAGATGACTTCGTTGACTATACGCTTGTTTCTTGTAATTTGTCATTTATTTGCACAAAAAAACCCGACAGAAACACATGTTTTACTATCCATGTCATATGGATGCGACCATGGTGGATCTTTTGTTGGTAAACAATGTACGCTTCTTAAAGAACATTCAACTCTTGACTCATAAACAGAATTGCACATTTACTTGTGGTTACTTTACAGACAGCTGCCGGGGGGATATGTCATCTTTCTGATGACTCTTGTTAGTGAAAGACATTCAGACTTCATTTGATCTTCACTATCAATTTTGACTATTGTAAAACGGCTATCTAGAAATATACCAATTATGAATGAGTGAGTGAGTATGGTTTTAGGCCGCTTTTAGCAATATTCCAACTATATCACGGCGGGAGACACCAGAAATGGGCTTCACACATTGTGCCCATTGGGGAATCGAACCCGGGTCTTCAGCGTGACGAGCGATCACCTGAACCACTAGGCCACCCCACCGCCCCAAACAAATTGTCACAGAGAAAATATGGCACATGCCACATTCATAGAACTTCATAAGTATTTGAAGAAAAAGGCATTTTAGTGATTATGGAAAACATCCTTCACGGCTGACCTTCACCTTTGCATTGACCTTACACTTGGGTCACTCTTGACCCTTTTTTAATCTGAGTCTGGCCTAAACAAAACACATAGCAAATGTGTTTGACCTACTGTAAACCGTTTATATATTGTCACTTTTAATTGTTGAAAGTGTTGACCTTGAAAGTGAATTTAATATTCAATATCGGTAACAAGTATTTCATAAACATTTCAAAGGGCTATCCAGCACATCAACCAAATATGATGTCAATTGGTTGAATTCAAGGTAAGAATTAAACAATATGCTAGTCATAAAAAGTAGATCACATTGACCTACCACTGACATAAATCATTGTCATCACTTGTCATGAGACCCGTGAAGATTCCGGGGTAGAATAGGTCTTCAGCAACCCATGCTTGCCATAAAAGGCGACTATGCTTGTCGTAAGAGGCGACTAACGGGATCGGGTGGTCAGGCTGGCTGACTTGGTTAGTGCATGTCATGGTATTCCAATTGCGTGGGACCCGTGAAGATTCCGGGGTAGAATAGGTCTTCAGCAACCCATGCTTGCCGTAAAAGGTGACTGACGGGATCGGGTGGTCAGGCTCGCTGACTTGGTTGATACATGTCATCAATCCAAATTGCGTGGATCGATGTTCATGATAATAATCACCGGATGGTCTGGTCCAGACTCGATTATTTACAGACCGCTGTCATATAGCTTGAATATTGGTAAGTGCGGCGTTAAACAACCAACCAACCAACCAACCAATTGCGTGGTCATTGCCATTGCTGTGTGGGGGCGGTCGGATAGCCTGGTGGTTACAGCGTTCGCTCGTCACGCCGAAGACCCGGGTTCGATTCCCGTACAGTGTGTGAAGCCCACATCTGGTGTCACCCGGCGTGGTATTGCTGGAATATTGCTAAAAGCCGCGTTAAACCATACTCACTCACTCATTGTTTTGTGTATCAACTTTTGTTACTGTATCCATCGTTTAGGTTTGTGATGTGTGAGTTGAAAGTAGTATAAGTATGTTTCATTCGGATCGAACCTAATTTATACCTTTTAACTAACAATCCTAGTTCGTTGTAGGGAACAAAGTTCAATGGAGGTAAACTTAACAATACTTAAACAGTGTGTGTTTCGTTTGATTTAATATAAATGTAGCTTTTGACTACATCTTTCCGAAAATATTTTTTTATTTCATTGACTGTTGTTTCGAAATTGTCTTTTTCAGAATTTAAAAGGTCTATGTTTAGAAATGGATTTAAAGATTCGTGAGCTTTGCTGCCATGAACCCTTGGCGACATGTAACTTTTCAATCTATTTTATTTTCACAAAAGGATTCCAAGTCATTTTAGCCCCCCTTTACCGTTTTCATTTATCAACATTTTCCTTTTAATTCCGTCTCACCTGACTGCCCAAACACGTTTAAATAAAACTGAATTCAGCCTTTTAAAGAACTGTTTTCTGGGATGGGAAGCGCCACCAAAATTTGTGTAAAGAGAGGGAAAATCTGAAATTTTATTATTGTTATTCTACCTATTATGTTTTGCATATTTTGGTAAAGATCATATCAATGTTTAAAGCGGTCATTTCCTTCAAGCAAGTTGAAAACATTATTCGTATATTTTGAAGGTTCTTTTTCAGATCCATTAAAAGTGAAATTTGTATCAACTGCATATTGAAATATAAGCTATTCTTTTCCTCTAAAATCAATTCCCGTTTCATGTTATTTGATATTACCGCAATAACAAACATTTCTACACAGATAACAATCAGATATAGGGCCACCACGGCAGCCACGCTCTAAAGAGAAACTGTCGTAAAAGGTGACTATGCTTGTCGTAAAAGGCGACTAACCGGATCGGGTGGTCAGGCTCGCTGACTTGGTTGATGCATGTCATCGATCCCAATTGCGTGGATCGATGTTCATGATATAAATCACTGGACTGTCTGGTCCAGACTCGATTTTTTACAGACCGCCTTCATATAGTTGGAATATTGCTGAGTGCGGCGTTAAACAAAGAAGTTGAAGATGTGTGCCTTTATATAACCATTTCATAGTTCCTTTAAGGTCTCCCTCTTCTAAAGACAAATATTTTGGTTTTGTTTTAATTCACTTGAATTCCTGTAGAATCACAAATGTTTATAACACGTTTATTCTCTGTATAATTGTAGAGCAGAATAAGCTATTTAAGATGCATCATCAGCAAATAGTAAAGCAAAAATATTTGGAAAGTCAGCCGTTATAAAGCTGACCCTTCCAAGACCCTTCCTCCAGATCTGATATTGATTCAGTTAGAAAGATGATAAATAATATTGGGCTTAAAACACATCCTTGGCGGGTTCCTAGGTCGCACTTTAAATAATCAGATAAAGCTGCTGGGGTTTCTTACGCTAACAGATTAGAATACATACATACAAGTAATTTAATAAAGTTGCTTTCAAGGCCTACCCTTCTCAAACTATTCATTAAATCTTTATGATTAACTCCATCAAATGCCCTTGAAGAGTCAACGATGATGCTGTAAAATCTACCCTTAGGTTTGGATAGGTATTTTTTGTGCAGCTACCTGTAATGTGAAAATGTGATCATAAGTTAAATGTCCGGCTCTTAAACCAGCCTTGAGATTTGTAAAATTAAGAAATCACCGACGAGTGGGAGTTGTTTATCGTACAATAAAACACTGCAGGGAGAATAAACCATGAGGGGCGGAGCCGAGTGGTTTATTCTCACTGCAGTGTTTTATTGAAGATAAACAACGACATCGAGTCGTTTGTTTCATATTAGAGAAATCAACATTACGTACAGCCTCTTCTAGGATGTTACTAAAAAGGAGACACTTTAAACATATTTACCCGTATTTAAACAATGATGACTCCCTGAATAGAATTCAACCGCGGCAATGTCGGACAAGTCCATTTTACCGATTGTCATATCTCTCCCTCTTTTGGATGCGATCGTTCGGCCATTGCGTTTATCTGCGTTGCCCAGCTACATCTATGGGGAACAACTCACGAGACGCTCCGTCTAAAAAATAACGTCGTCTATTATACGACGTCATCAAGTTGCGAGCGCGTGTTCGAATCTCCAGAAATGATGTCATGATAGAAAAATGTTTTATCGTGAAATAAACCACACTTCGTTCTTCATTGTTCTTTGCGATTTATCACGTAGCTATCTTATACAAAATCATTAATGTCACACCAGGACTGTAGTCCTTTATCCAGAAGGGGGCACGGGTGGCCCAGTCGTCTAAGGCGCCGGAATTTGCTGTGCAGAGTTGCGTCCCTTGGGCACGTCAGAAACCTATGATTGTGGGTTCGAATCCCGGTTCGCCCCGATTATGTTTCTAGGTTTGTCAGCACCATACCCGTGCTCATGGGTTTCACCGAAGTGGTAAACTATGGAATACTGTAAGGGACATTCTCGCGATCTCGCATTCTCGCGATCTCGACCTTTGGAAACGAGGTAAATATGCCCAAAACACGAGAATGCGAGATCGCGAGAACGCGAGATTTGGCCAAAATCTCGCGTTCTCGCGATCTCGCATTCTCGTGTTTTTGGTACATAGCACTTTTTGTCAAAAGTCGACAACGCGAGAATGCGACATTTGGACATGATGCAAAATCTCGCAATCTCGCAATCTCGACTTGTCAAATTAGGCCACAAAATAACGAAATCGCGAGAACGCGAGAATGCGACATTTCATTTTCTCGCGATCTCGCGTTCTCGTGTTCTCGCGTTTTAGACGCTGTCCGTGCGCATGCGTAATATCATAAGGTCAAGGCCCATGCGCACGTTAGTAGTCCTTTGGTCATGCTTCTTTCATGCTCTTCATTCTCCAAGTAGTATTTAGCAAACTTATGACTTGAGCTTGAAAATGCTATGTAATTTACATACACAAAGTCTGAGTCATCTCCCGTTGTTACAGTTTCCTATGTACTTTATAATAAAACCCTAAACATGCTCAATATAATTTAACAAAAGAAATTGTGTCTATGAATGTCCAATGATGGTGAAAACATAAATGTGTCCGAAAGCTGGAAGCAAAACTTTTACCGTCAGTGAGTGAGTGAGTAATATTGCTTAAAGCCGCATCAGCAGTATTGCAGTTATTCGCGGCTACACTGTCAGTTACAGAAATAATCACAAGCCAGTGAGTTTCTCAATGAGGCAATTTTATACACGGCTAGAATATTCATTAAAATAAAATTCTCATGTCGAAGTGCAATAATCTTGAACGAAACGTTAAACCCCATTTCACCTCACCTCGCCTGTTCAGTGGAGAGTAGAAGTTTGGCATATGTACCTATTTTCATACCAGCACTTCGAATTATACCATTCCAATCTGTTCAATACCATGCACCGTTGAATGACGTTTTCGTCTGGCTCAGAAGTTGCCCAGTCATTGTATATGAATTCAGTCCCATCCACCCATCGCCAGGTCTTCCACTCTGCAGCATCCGTTCCTCCAAGCCAAAATTTCTTAGAATTGAGACCTGAGAGAAAGATGAAAAAAAGTATTTCCTTTCGGAACTATAACATCAACGCATGGACTCAAAAAATGGATTCATATTTTTTTACGCTGCTTTTATCAACATTTTACGGCGGGTGTCGCCAGAAATGTGCTTAACACATCAAACCCGGGCTTTCGGCGCGAGGAGAGAACCTATTACGACCCCATCGTCCCTTGAAATCAATAAAACACATTATAGCTAAAATGGATAGAATTATCAGTAAACCGCCCGCATGTTATCAAAAATCAGCGGGCCACTGTAACTTGATAATGCCCTCATATGGCTTGACGACGGGCCATTATCACGTCCGTTGTTGGGTGACGTCATAGGGTAGGCATAGGTGACGTCACGTTAAATAGTGACGTCATCTGGTTTGTTCTATGACGTTTCCATATTTGTAATAGTGGGTCAGTGACATTTGTGTTGATTTCAGTAAATATTTCAAAACCGATATTGTTGTTTCTTTTTATTTGATACAAAGTTCCATCCATTTTAGCTATAATAACAGTAACGCTATTCTTCAGGGCATTATCATTTGCAGAAGCCCTCGGTCTTTTCAACTGCCCTCCTTCGTCGGGCAGTTAATGGAAGACCTCGGGCTTCTGCAAATGATAATGCCCTGAAAAATAGCCTTACCCTTATACTAATCAGAAGAACAGTATTCGCTCACTGATATTTTAAAAGTTAATAGATATGGGCGTTGAGGTGGAATTTCGTGGATTTAACAACGATTTTTCACTCAATTTCATTTCTGCGATTGGTTTTATATGATTTGGGAGCTTCGTATTCGAATCCAAATTCTAATTTATTTTAGTTAGTTATAGTTTCCTTTGCTCGTCTGTGTACTTGTTGTCGGCCAAAACAAACAAAAACGTATTTATTTGCATTTATATATAAGCATACGCTCATATACATGATTTCATATACGTGTTTTACAGGCCACCAGAGGGCTAAAACAGCAAAACTTGCTGCGCAAAGCACGAGTTTAACCAGTCAAATACGTATCTCTGGTGAGCGATTAGGGACAGACAATATACTATTAGGCCGGAATGCGCACGGATGGCCGACGTGTAGCGTGTTAGGGGAATGACATATTTTATTGTTATCCTCCTAAATTGTCAGAGGGCCCAACTGTCAGACGACTTATACCGGGATTAGGTAAGGTGAGAGCACAAGTAATTGTTACCTGTTTGCCTTAATGTAAAGTGGAACATCCCTACACAAATGACAGACACCAATATAGTATTCCTCAACCGAGTTTTAGCAATCTGCATCCAAAATTTCAAGCATTCGTCTGCCCAGCCTCGCTCAGACTCTTCCTGTGTCAGCGTGGCACCCCTTGACTTCTTAATCCCTTGTACCAAATCTGAAGAGGCTGTTGTGTTGCTGATGAGGGAGACTGCGTTTGCACGAGCATGAAAACACTACATATACTACATGTGGGATTGGGCCCGTGAAGATCCGGGGTAGAATAAGTCTTCTGCAACCCATGCTTGTCGTAAAAGGCGACTGTGCTTGTCGTAAGTGGCGACTAACGGGATCAGGTGGTCAGGCTCGCTGACTTGGTTGATGCATGTCATCGTAACCCACTTGCGTGGATCGATGCTCATGATGTCGATCACTGGATTGTCTGGTCCAGACTCGATTATTTACAGACCGCCGTTATATAGCTGGTATATTGCAGAGTGCGGCGTTAAACATCAAACAAACAAAATAATAGTGTGTGCTGTGTATATATGGCCTGCAAATTCAGTTATGTATACTCACACGCAAACGAAACGCAAGTCGAGTAAGCAGTATAGTTGTTATTTATTTTCAACAGTAAAGAAAAGAAATACTAACAGGGTAAGATTGACAAAAAAATGACTGAAGACACTTTAATGGATTAAAAGGCAGATGACATAATTGTTTTTTTCAAATGTTAAGGGCTTACACAGTTTCGGGTCAATACCCAAAATGCCAGTCAATACCTGGTGTGACCACCATTAGCATTGATCACTGCCACACATCTCCTGTACATTGAGTGGATCAGACGATTTGTGATGGCCCTAGGCACACATCCAGAGCAGCTGTGTGTAGTTCATCGGCAGTTGTAGGGACTGGGCGCACATTGTGCAGACGCCTTTGAACCTCATCCTACAAGTCTTCGATGGGGTCAGATCAGGGCTGAGGGCTGGCCATGGTAGAACGCGGATGTTGTGTTGTTGCAGGAAGGCCATGGTAGCTCTGGCAACATGGGGACGAGCGTTGTCCTCCTGGAAAATGTGTTGTTGATGTTGTGCAAAAAATGGAACAACGTGGGGTCTGATCACTTGGTCGATATTCCGCTGAGCAGTGACGCCGTGTCCCCGACCTTGACCAACATTCAGCAAGCACATGATTCCAAGTCTCGCATTAAGTCCAACCCCTGCCCATATCATGACGCTAGGTCCACCCCATGGATCCCTTTCCACAACGTTTCTGTCAGCGAAACGGTCACCTCGACGCCGCCAAATTCTTACTCTTCCGTCTGAATTGGAGACACAAAACCGACTTTCATCAGAGAAGATTACACGCCTCCGCTCACGATGACGCTAATTGCGATGACCCTGTGCCCACTGAAGTCGTGCTTGTTAATGCCGTGGTTGGAGAACAGGCCGATGTGCTGGTCGGCGACATCTGAGGTTGTTGGAACGGAGACGTCGAATCACAGTGTCCCGGCTAATGTGTCGATTATGTGTTCCTATGGTCTGTCGAGCACTTCCACTTGCAGTTAGGAACGGATGTCGCTGGTGTTGACGGGTAATCTGCCGATCTTGTCGAGGTGTGGTGACCCTAGGACGACCGCTCCGAGGAAGGCAATCTCGGGTCTGTGTAGCATTGTATCGATGCAGGAGACGGTAAATTGTGGTTATGTAAACGTTGAAATGACGGGCAACATCTTGGACAGACTCTCCAGCTTCCAAACGTCCTATAGCCTGGTTTCTATGAATTTGAGTTAGGCGTGGCCAAGGAGTGGTAGGTCCAAGAATCGGCCACAGTTTTATACCCACTACAGTTCGGGACAGGTCGTGTATTTTCGATTTCGCGAGAAATGGGTGCATGATACCCACATATTCATTGAAATGGTGCGTTTTGGCGATTCGTTTTTATGTTGCGTTTTACTCCAAAATGCAACCAAAAATATTGATAACACCATCAGGCTTTACTACATGCTAAAACTCGTATCAATTGATGGTTCCGTGTTTGTTACCTATTTGCTTAAAACCACTTGCGGTTTTTTTTGCGTGTGAGTATATAATGTGCATCGTTGATTTGTTTGACAGTTTATTCCAGGGATTCAACACGTTGGATACTTTAACTCAAGAGTTGGACTGAGATCTGATTACAAGGAACAGGACTTTTTCTCAAGCTGTACAGATGACGATGATTATTCTGTTGATAAGGCTCTCGATACATCTTCTATCGATAAGGCAGTGAACAGCTTTGGATTTCAACTTTTAGTTAGACTTGTGTTGTTCAACTGGTCTACGAGTAGCAAATGGACGTTTATGAAATGATATTAGAGGGAAATATACTTATTAAAGTAGTCTGTTTGACTATTTGCTATTGAAAGAATACAACATTGAACTTGCTCTTGCCATTACGCCGTACAGTTTCCATGCTGCCATTGCTGTTATATTGGGACAGAATTGTCTGACAGATCAGAGAATACATACAACATATTCACGCAAGGAATATGGGTCACACAAAAGGGACGAAAGTTATAGTAAAATGATTAAGAAGGATCTTATGAATCATATAGACTAAATAACTGAAACTATTATTAACTGTTTGGGAGAAAATGTTGAAGAAATTGCTGCAAATGTAAGTGATACCCTGCTAAAAAGCATTATACGGAAAGAAGAGTGAGTGAGTATGGTTTTACCCCGCTTTTAGCAATATTCCAGAAATGGGTTTCACACATTGTACCCATGTCGGGAATCGAACCCGGGTCTTTGGTGTGACGAGCGAACGCTTTTACCACTAGGCTACCCGACCGAAGAAGAAGGTAGACTGTCAGAGGTCATTTTCGCTTCAAAGGTAACCATGAAAATAATCCCATTGGTCTGATAAGTACCTTAGAGTATATCAATGGCGAAGCGAATACATTCGAAGAAGGAAATATGAGAAGATTGTACAGAGGAAGAAAATGTTTTTAAAATATTAGTAAATTTCAACAAATTTCAAACTTCGTTGGCGATATCCTAAGGAATTTTGGACATTTTTTAATGTTCAAAAATAATAAAACCTGGGAAATCATTTTTTAGCAAATAAAAGTATTTTGACATGTGTGTAACTCTTTGTTCTATTAATCTGTACATTTGGATTTCGTGCGTTTGTTTTTAACTCCGCAAGTTGTGTCACACTGGCTTGTAAATAATTGAGTCCGACCAAGACAAACCAATGGTTGATAGTATGAGCAACGTCCTACGCCGAGGTACCATGATGTGCAAGCGAAGTCACCGAGCCTGACCACCCGATCCATTTAGTCGCATTTTACGAAGCCAGGCCTGACTCGGAATTACCAACAGGGTGCACGTGTCTGTATGCCAGATCCACAATGAATTTCGGGGGGCACGGGTGGCCCAGTCGTCTAAGGCGCCGCAATTCGCTGTGCAGAGTTGCGTCCCTTGGGTACGCCAGAAACCTATGATTGTGGGTTCCAATCCCGGTTCGCCCCGATTATGTTTCTAGGTTTGTCAGCACCATACCCGTGCTCGTGGGTTTCACCGAAGTGGTAAACGTCTGAGGCCTGCATCACTTCGGGCTTTCCTCCCACATTAAGCTGACACGCCGTGATATGACTGGAATACTGTTAAAAGCGGCGTTAAACCCAATTCACTCACTCACAATGAATTTCTTCATCACGACATAAAGAAACAGCCATTAATATAAGGATAGAATCATTCCGGATTCTCCAAGCAGATTATCACTATTTAAAACATTGCCTACCTAGTTCGGTGAGAATTTCATCCAAGAATACATTGATGTCCTCTGTTTTCGGCATCATGAGAGAACCCCCTTTCTTCTGGCATTCGGCACTGGCATTAGGCCAGGAAAGGGGGGAGTTCACAGTGAAGGCCATTGTGTCATTACGTTTAAGGTCACGGAGCTGGATCGGGACTACAAGAGATAAAATATACGTGTGTAACACAGGTTGATAAAACGTATGTGAATTTGTGAGTTGGGTTTGTATTTGAAGGGTGCGTTTATTCGTTGTTGAACGCAGCAGCAATATTCAAGCTAAATGACGTGCTCTGACCAGCCGATCCATTTAGTCGCCTCTTATGACATGCTCAGGTTGTCATGGACCTACATTCTTCGGACCTACGGGTCTGTTCAAACAAACTCTCAGTTTTTACCAGGTGGTTGATAGCATGAGCAGCGACGTTCGGGGCACGTTAACCCACAAATCATCTAGTTCACACATAGTAACAGTCTCATTAGCTAGTTTCAAGAACTAGTACTGGGTGTCCGTCTGCACAGAATGTGCACTATGTACAATTAAACCCGTTAAACCGGACGGTACGGTTCACTGTGAAATCTACAAAATTAACAAATTGCATATAAAAGTTCTCAAAACATAATCGTCCTAAAATAATGGTTTTCCGGACTAACAAAGTGCGCACTAGAGGTTTGTGGAACTTTGAAATGCAGACTAACGGATTGTTGACTAACAGACTGCTGACTAACGGATTGTGGATTATCATAGTGCGGACTAAAGGATTGTGGACTAACATAGTGCGGACTAAAGGTTTGTGGAACTTTGAAGTGCAGACTAACGGATTGTGGACTAACAGACTGCAGACTAACGGATTGTGGACTATCATAGTGCTGACTACAGGATTGTGGACTAACATCGTGCGGACTAAAGGATTGTGGAACATTGAAGTGCAGACTAAAGGATTGTGGACTAACAGAGAGTGAAGTAATGGAGTGTGGACTAACGGATTGCAGACTAATATAAGTATGTACTAACGGAGTGTGGAGTAACGGATTGTGGACTTACAAAGCAGGAGTAACGGAGCATGGCCTAAAGTGTTGTGGACTAACAAAGTGTGGACTAAAAGATTGTGGACTTAGTTAAGTGTGAACTAGCGGAGAGAGGAACGGATTGTGTTTGCAGACTAACTTAAGTGTGCACTAAGGGAGAGTGATCTAACTGATTGTTGACTAACAAAATGTGTACGAACGGAGTGTGAACTAACGGAGTGAGGACAAACGTAATGTGCACAAACGGAGTGTGGACAAACGGATTGTGGACAAACAGATTGTGGACAAACGGAGCGTGGACAAACGGAGAGTGGACAAACGGAGTGTGGACAAACGGATTGTGCACTAACGGATTGTGGACAAACGGAGAGTGGACAAACGGTTTGTGGACAAACGTAGTGTGCACTAACGGATTGTGGACAAACGGAATGTGCTCTAACATCAACTGATTGTTGACTGACAACGAACGGATTGTGTACGAACAGAGTGTGGACAAACGGAGGGTGGACAAACGGATTGTGGACAAACGATGTGGACAAACGGAGTGTGCACTAACGGATTGTGGACAAACGGATTGTGGACAAACGGAGCGTGGACAAACGGAGCGTGGACAAACGGAGTGTAGACAAACGGAGTGTTCACTAACGGAGTGTTGGCAAACGGAGTGTGCACTAACGGGGAGTGCACTAACGGAGTGTGCACTAACGGATTGTGGACAAACGGAGTGTGGACAAACCGATTGTGCACTAACGGATTGTGGACAAACGGAATGTGGACAGATGGTTGACTAACAGATTGTTGACTCGGGGTGAGGAATAACGGATTATTGACTAATGCCTACATGCCTACCGCATTCTGTAGTCTTGTTGACCATGACGATACATTTTTCATGTTTGGAACATGTGTGATTCTTGCACAGCCCAGTGACACTCTGGAATAATAAAAATATATTCATGTTTATATTAATACCAACAAGAGTTTGCCACTAACGTGGTTATATCCCCCGCCCTTGTTGCAGAATTTATGACATAATTAAATCTAAACAAACCCTAACCTTTATTAACCGAGGTGGAACTTGTCATGGAAATTGTTAAAAAAAGATGAGTTTGGAACCTAAGTCCATCTTGTTGCCATGGAAACGTATAATATAAATATTTCTAAAATCTAAATAGCAAAAGGCACCAGTTCAGCATGTACCTGACAGACCTGCACAGTTTGATGAAAAAATATTGAACGGTTTATGAGTTATGCTCCGGAAACAAACCCTACCCTCACAATACCTAAGTTCATCTTGTTGCCATGGAAACGTAAAAAATAAATATTTCTTAAATTTCTCAATAGCAAAAGGCCAGTTCAGCATGTACCTGACAGACCTGCAAAGTTTGATGAAAAAATATTGAACGGTTTATGAGTTATGCTCCGGAAACGAACCCGACCCTCACAGAACCTAAGTCCATCTTGTTGCCATTGAAACGTAAAAAATAAATATTTCTAAAATTTCTCAATAGCAAAAGGCACCAGTTCAGCATGAACCTGACAGACCTGCAAAGTTTGATAAAAAAATATTGAACGGTTTATGAGTTATGCTCCGGAAACGAAACGTGACGGACGGACAGACGGACGTACGGACGGATGGACGGACGTGCGGACGGATGAACGGACGGACGGACGGAGCCCGTTTCTATATCCCCCGCCAACTTCGTTGGGCGGGGGATAATAATGAATACAAATTAGACAATCTGAATGAGAAAGTTGAGCCCAATGTGCCAGATCTCTTTATCAAGTTGATCAAAGCCACGAAGCCACGAAGGCGAGTATTGGGTTATCATCGCAGCTTTGAACAGATCAAAACACCTTCCCCCCCACCCCAACCCCCAACCCCCAACCCCACCCAAGCCACACATTAACACACACTCTTACTCTAACACTAATGTTCCCAGTGTATTCACAAACCAAGTATCGGTGCCGGATCGAATCTGGAGGCTAAGAACGCTTCCATGCATATAGAATTGCAACACACCTTTGATCAATGGCCACCCTCTTGTCAGACAGAGAACCACATACCTTGGGCCAGTCCTGTACATTACTGTGCAGAAAGTCAGGGTTGTACTCGGGGGATTCAGACACTTCGCTCACGTTCCTGTAGTTGAGGTAACATGTCTTTCTCTTCCTGTCAAAGTCAAAAGACTTGCAAAAGTTCCTCTGAACACATTCAGCGGCGCATTTGAAGACGTTAGCGCCTTTGATAAAATCAAATGAGAAACCCTTTAACCTCGAATTATCGACGATTCGATTTTCATAACCACACATCTCGGACGCAAAAGAATAGGACAAGTATAAAGTGACAAGACTTGCAGAGAACATCTTCTCAACGTGTCTTCTCCAAAGTCTTTACTAAAACTAGGACGATGTTGTTCTACAAGAAGGGACGTCTAATCATCTCCGTGTGCCTGGCAACGTGTAACAAGGTAACAATATAACAATATAACAATGTAACAATGTAACAATGTATTACTTACTTATTCATAAAGATTGGATGCTTTTAATCAATGGTTCTGCGACATGATGCTGATCCTTACCGTTTCGCTTTAAAGATTTAAACAATGCAGTTTTATGACCCAACCAACGTCATCGACCGAGGCTTGTTTGTGTCTTATTGGTCTCGATCTTGAAAGTAGTTAACAAGATCAATAGGCATCATTTACCACACCTGGTGTTTGCTTGGGTTTAGTCGTTAGGGTCATATGACACTTGGGATCGATAAGTTAAAAATATCTAGTTGAATGTATTATGCCTTGGGATCTTATTTTTGACTATTTCATATCTGAATATTTAAGCATGTCCCGCTCTCTGTCATGTATCATGTATTCCATGTGCGTCATCACGTATGTCCAGTTCGGTACCATGTACACTACATTTCATAAGTAACTTCCCCTAGTTTCGCGACATTTTCGCGAAACATTTCCCGCCACTGATGCGGCAAAAATTTCGCTTCACTTTTGAGGCGTTAACACGACGCTATTGCGCCACTTTCGGGATACTTTCGCGCCATTTCCGCGATAATGTTGTAGAAGAAAGAGGCACTTTCGCGGCACTATCGCGCCACTATTGCGTGGTTATCGCGCCGCTGTCGCGTCACTTACGCGAAACTATTGCCCCATAATAATCTCGCTTTCTGGTCACGTTTGTGACACATTTGCGTTACAAGACACTGTGTTACTGTTAACATTTGTAGAATAAGCATTCTTGTGTTATCATATTTCCAATGGCATTCTAGTTTGCATCATTTACGATCACATTGTTAATTTTTTGTCTTTTGACAAATACTGAGATGGATATTTCATTTAAACCGTAAATGTTAGGTGATCATTAGGTCATAACCTATATCACAGATACTTGTACACACTTGAGCTCAGGCGATTTAAATTCTACAACTGAAGTAGAACAGAATCACACATACTCTTGGTGGGCCTTCAGGAAAGCTCATGACCAACTAATGTTTAGTCCCTTTCTGGTATCCAATAATGTTCCGTATTAAGTTTCGTTCTGAACAGGGGGCATGGGTGGCCCAGTCGTCGAAGGCGCCGCGATTCGCTGTGCAGAGTTGCGTCCCTTGGGCACGCCAGAAACCTATGATTGTGGGTTCGAATCCCGGTTCGCCCTGATTATGTTTCTAGGTTTGTCAGCACCATACCCGTGCTCGTGGATTTCACCGAAGTGGTAAACGTCTGACACCTGGCGTAAAACCAAACTCCCTCAGTCACTCGTTCTGAATATAACGAAACTATAACGCGAAATAGTTTGGGTATTGTAGTTATCCTATGATAAATGAAGAGCTCACTAATATTAAGTCGTTAATCAGTTGAAGTATATTGTGACTTGTTCCGTTTTAAGGAGTATCAACATTGTGAAAAAATATACTTTACGTGATCGAAATAAAACTGACAAAAACATTTCTATAATAATTAGAATCATTATAAGATTCCGACTAATATTATTTAACAGCTTGCAGTTTCACATAAACTAACGATAAGTTCTGATAAAACGAATCTGCTTGTATTTAGACGAGGAGGTCGGTTATTTGTTAACGAGAAATGGTTCGATGAAGGTAAACTTCTTCAACCAACTGCTATAGATATCTTGGGGTCTGGGACAACTACTCCCCGGACAATTGCCACCCGGACGAATGTTCCACGGACGAATGCCACCCAGACAATTGCCACTCCTTATTGTCATTGGTGACAATTGTCCGAGTGGTAATGATCCGGTGGCAATTGTCAGGATGGCAATTTCCTGCTCCCAGATGTCTAAGCTTTGTCTTCCCATCTACATTAAACATGAATCAGCGTATTTCAGACCCAGCATCAAGATGTAAACGAGCTTGAATGGAAATTGTTCTTCATCTACAGACAATCTACAGACCACTGTTTTGTCGATACTCCGATTCAACCTGTTTTTTTATTTGCAGCGGGAATATGGGGTGTAGACATGAGCATATTTGGGCTTGTAAGACGTTTCCAATACAATGAACTACGGTTATAACGAACTCAAAGGGACCACTAATTTTAGTTCGTTATAACCGTAGTTCGTTATAAGCATATATACAACATATATACAATAATTGGCCCGGACTAAAAATTAAGTTCGTTATATCGGTCAGTTCGTTATAAGCGTGTTCGTTATAACCGTAGTTTACTGTATTTGTTTGCAAACACTAAATGCTATTGTGTATGGCAAATACAGTCGATAAACACTCTATCTAAATGTCATTTAGTTAAGGCAGAAATTGACCGAAATGAATAGAAACTCTTATAATTGCTTGTAAGGATAACCGTGGCCATCTTAACTATGCTCCTTCCATTCGTCTATATCATGTTCTCACGGATTTGGAGTAGTTTGTGTTAGTCAAGCTGTTTTTTATTAATAGTCAGTTTTAAAATGTTGTGATCAATATGTTCTATCAATCATGGAATAGTACTATCAGTGCTAGTTAAACGTAAAACGAGTAAAGAGTCTCCAAAAATCAGAAAAAAATACCTCAAATAAAATAAGATAAAATAAATAAAATATCGTTATGTTAAGATAACGCTTAGAGCCGGGCTACTAAAGCTTCAGGTAAACGATGGTAGATGGCCTGATATTGATATACGATTACAGCTCAAAGATACTAGACCACTGTATTTACCAACAACCAAATGCCATCATCCAAATTCATATAAATGAAGGCAGCTTCCCCCCCCCCCCCCCCCCCCCCCCCACCACGTTGACAATCACTTGGCAAACTATTTAAATACCTGTTTGACATCTAGGAAAGAAGACGTACTTATGAAAAGCTTTTCATTACCTTTTTTCACGTCCCACACTATCTCAAATGAACGATGGTATATATGCCAGTAGCATTATTACAAATAAAAGACTTTGAAAAGATCAAAAGCATGTGTTCTTGAAATACAATCATATAGTGATTGTAGTTGTTCGGCACATCCCACAAAGGCTAGTCCTGTCGGCCATGGAGAACGGATGTTTTTTGTCTCGCTACGCTTAGCCTATTATGTATTTTCTCTGAAGAGCCCAAGGGATTCAGTTAATAAATAAGTGTACTAAATACACTAAGACGCATAAGCAACAATTATGAACATTTCATTTTGAAATAACACTAATGGAATTGGATTATGCGTTGTAATATTTCTAATGGAGGTAAGACCACACCCGCCATTGTTGTGGCGATGACTCCTAAATGAAAACTCGGGTAAATATGAAATTTCCACTATTTTTAGCCTTTGCCGAACTCTAAAAGACAAAGACATTATTCCAGAGATTCCAGCTTATCTTCAAATAGTGATTCATAAGCACTTCAAAGAATCCGGAATACATCCACCTCAGAACAGTCCGTGTTTTCTTTTAATTCAAGGTAAGACTTTCTGACTTTCCTTTCTAGTTCGTTATAACCGTAGTTCGTTATAAGCATCTACTTATTAAATTTCAGAATTTTCAGAAACAAACAAGGTGAGGTGAGGTGAGGTGAAATTGGGTTTAACTTCGCGTCCAGGATTATTGCACTTATATAGCGACGTGCATGTACGTGTGTGTGTTTGTGTGGGTGCTTGTACTAGCCTCTCCAATGGACCAATCAGATTCCATCACTTGCATTTGTTTCAAACAAAATGGCGGCGCCTGGTCAAGACGACCTGATTGATAATCAAGATCTATATTGAGATAAAACGGATCTTACATCGCGAAGTGCATCAAATCATGCGAGCACCTTGATTTTAAACATGAAAAGGTTTGGAAAATATCTGGCGGTGCACATGCTTTGCAAATCCTGCAATCGACCGAAATCTGCACGACAGTTTACGAACCGGATTTCGATTTCGTTGCGCGATTTTGATTGAACTATGCATAGACTCGTTAGTCTAGCCAAAATGTAACTCCATAATACCCTCCTAGTTCGGCAAGAGTGGAAACTGGACTTTTAAAGTCGATTCACTCTCTTGCCTCGGGGAGATGTCCAAAACTATGCTCATATGGGGCAGCTAAAATATAAGGTAAGCAAGAGTAGTGTTATTCTGTACTTTGGATGCTCAAACAATAAGGTTCAAACCATTAATGTATCAATTGGCGATATGCATGTTCCACAAAGAAAATCTATTAAATGTGCAGGTGTATATCTTAGTACAGATAAATCATCCCTTGAACGTACAAAATCTGCATGTGAAAGGTTACGTGTACTCATCAACACTAATCATAATAATGGGTTGTATTTTGGTGGTCTGAATCCTGAATCTGCAGCATGTGTCTGGGAAAGGGTAATCTGATCATGTGGCCTCAATGGATGCAGCGTATGGGGTAAACTTCCTCTTAAAGAGTATAAAATGTTTGAGGTTGTACAACGTCAATTTTGTAAAAAAGTTCAGGGACTACACAGGCGCACTCCCAGTATTGTTGTATTGGATGCTATTGGTATCATGCCACTACAGTATTACATATTTTAAAAGAGCACTCTACTTCTAAGGAAAGCAATGCAAAGTATAACTGTGTTTTTAAAGCAATGTTTCTAGTTCGCCTGGGTCAATTTATGTGTACAGATAGTTTTACATGCAATGTATGGAGTAGAAAATATCCGATATATAACATGTACAGAAGTATAACCTAAATGATACACTTGTTAACTATGTCATTACTTGTCAATTTATTAATAAGAAATGCCGGCCAAAGGCCGTGAATGATGCTATTAAATCTCATCGACATGATATATTTTATGTCCATCTTCAATCAAAACTAAATCTGTCAAGATATGTTAGTATAAGATCAAATAATGAACACTATCTCTGGAAACTAGCCATGGTGAAGTATGACCATTTAATTAATATACCAAGTCTATTATGGATCAGCTGAAATTGTCTCTAGAGAATGTTGTTGTAAAACTGTTGC